CGACGAGTACCACGAGTTCCGGCAGCGCGAGACGCCCGACGGCGAGGAGAGCAGCTAGCGGCCGGCGCGCGCAGTGGGTGTGGGTGGCCACAGCTCGGACGCCGGCCTCGCTGGTGGCTGAGAGCGATCCTGCTGGAGCCGGGGATCGGACCCGCCCGCATCCCGCTGTGAGAACGGAACGCTTGCTATCCAGCTGAGAAAGAGAAGAGAGAATCTTGTTCATCAATACATCGGATGCGGTTGCTCTAGGTCGCATGCATTCCTTCAGGCTAGAATGATAGTCATCTGACATTGGAGGATTAGCGCTGGAAAGGAACCTCGTTTTGCAGACGTATCTGTACTTTTGATATAGCAGGCTTTTTCTCAGGAAAGTGCTGATCCTCTTTTGTGAATGGAGACAGGAGTGCCGCGTTGTCTTCCGATTATCTTGACATGAGGCTGATTACCCACGGTTACCGGATCTAGCCATGCTCATGATGTTGGACATTCCATCTGGTATTGCCACCTATTATTGTGTTCCGGTGTTGCTCTGCGGCATCCATTTCCCGGGAGATTGTTTGTCACGCACCTGCGCACCGGTTCTCGTTCCGAGTCCCGTCCTATGGGGATCGCCTCATGCCCCGACGCACGCACTCGGTGACGGCTGGTGTCTTCGGACTTCGGCGTCCGACGTTCCTCACTGACCTCTTCGCGATGACCTACACACGGTTGGGGATTTTCACCGTTTTATTAGTTTTTAGTGGATTTGTTTTGTTGACAAGTAACAATAAACAGTGTTGCGGCACATCGTTGGACCCTCAGACCATCCTCGACACGCTGTGGCGGCGTACAGGGGGCGCCGCCGGGCGGGCGGACGGGGGCCGACTGTGACTGGCGAGCGACGTGGAGCGCGCCGCCGCAGGCCACCACCGAACGCGCCGGGAACGGGCTGGCAGCAGGAGCTCGCATGTCGACACGCTCTGAGAGGCTCCCTGAACGGGCCGGTGATGCTTGGCGGTGAGACGGACGGCGCAAAGTTGTGCGGACTACCTCCAAGCTCGTGAGCGCGCGGGCGGGCGGGAAAGGATGCGGTGAGTGGGCTACAAGTGCAGCAAGCTTGGGCGCGGCGGTGCTTGAGTCATATGCCATGGGCGTGAATTTGGCCTCGGTCTATGAATTAGCTCTGCAAGGAGCCTCTCATCCGTAACATGGACCATAACTTGGGCACATCGTAGCCCAATCGAGTGATCTTGTGTGCTGGTCAGCCGGGGTCTACGCGCACGCTCATGACGTGTATCGATCCATGATGGTGGCCCGGTATGTGGCCGGTGCGGTTGCCAGGCGCGCCATCCCTACGACGAACATTTCTTCTGCGTCAGTCTCTGGGCAAACACCAGCATGAGTGACTGAAGCGTCGCCAGCCGGCAGAGGGACCGTGCAGAGAGGCGACGGGGTGCCCGCCGGAAGACTGGATACACTACGGTTGCATGTACACCGGCGGGGCGGGCAGCCGGAGGGCGCGCGCCGGCCGGGTGTGCGGTGTGCGCGTGCAAGAAGGGTCCGCTGCCGAGTCGGGCAGGTCCGGGCAGGTGGCGGGCGGGTAGGGCGTGGTGTAAGTGTGCGGTGCAGGCCGGAGGCGACGGTCGTGAAGGTGCTGCAGACTGGGCGGCGCTCGGCCCGTGTCTGGGCGGTCCTGCCCCGTCGGCAGGCCGAAGCAAGGCCGGGGGGACGACGGCCTGGCCGCGTCGTCCGCCGGAGCGCGGTCCCGGCGGACGCCGCCCTGGCCGCCTCCACAGCGTGTGGACCCTTAAGGCTAGGGCGCTAGCGCGCACAGATAACACGACATCGATTGGTCCCCAGGCAACCAGCCCGTCGGGTGGAGCCCCGGTGCGGGGCGGCGGGCGGCGGGCGGCGGCGGCACTGATCCCGGACGGGGCCGGACGCCGCGGCGCAGCCATCCGCCGCGGCGACCGGCCGCCCCCTCCTCAGACGCGGCCGCCGCCGGCCGGAGCCCGCTCGTTTGCCGGCTCGCGGCCGGCTCCGGCGCCGAGCTGCGGGGCGCGCCGGTCGCGCGGCCCCCGCAGCTCACGGATATCATTCGTCCTCTTCGTTCTGGTATGTGACGTAGCGCACAGAGGACTTGTCGTTGTAGAGTGACTGCGGACAGCGTCGGCGCATGTCAGGCCAGAGGTTCGCATTAGTTAACCTCGGCTCGCAATCGAATCAGCGCGCAGCGGGCCTAATTGAAATTCAATTTAGCCTCGCGCAAAAACAGCCTTGGATAACGAGGCCTCCGAGATCGAGAGCACACTTTCCAATCAGCATGATCAGACAGGAAAAAAGCGGGCTAATGGTCTGCAGAGACAAAAACAGGCGAATGAAACGGCTTCTGTTCAAACCGGGTTGAAGCCTTCAGGCGACGGTACCGGCGCCGCCTAGCTCAAGATGCAGCTCCTACCGACCGTGTTTCCCCGTACAAGCATACAGTCGTAGCTTCGAGACGCCGTAGGGACTCGGCGTTTGTGTCTCAGGCCCGTATTGGGGCCGCGTATGGCCTGCGCAGGCTGTTGTTCGGTCGGACAGCTCGTCATCGGTTCGGCGTGGCGCGTTCAGTGACCGGCCCGGCTCAGTCGCCAACCCCTGCCAGCCGTCCAGTGGGAGGCACCTCTTTCTCTGGCTGTCGAGTGGGTGGATTCCGGACGAAGACGAGCAGCGGCGCGTACAGCAGCGTGATGAACGCGATGCCGTACAGCATCCAGTTGAAGCCGATGGACTTAACCAGCGTGCCGCTGAGAGCGGGACCTGCGGGTGGGCGGAGTCAGGCCGGAGTGTTCTGCCTGCCCGGGTGCTCCCGCCAACGGATGGCCCGCTCAGGCCGGCATCTCTGTTCGACAGCTGACTCCGGTAAAACGGACTTAACGAGTGAGCCATGGATGCCGTCTGTCCAGTTGGTCGCCGTGAATCGCGGAAGTACATAGCTAAGACGCAGCGCCACAGCTTGATTGGAGATGACTAAATATGTGTGGGATCTCACTAACCGACTGCGAATCCGAGGCAGAAGGCGACGTCGCCGATGCTGTAGACGCTGCCGTAGACGGCGGCGTGGCGGATGTCCACCAGGTAGCCGAGCTGCGGCATCATGCTAGAGTCCACCATGCCGATGGCGAAGCCGAGGCCGGCGTTCGGCACGATCAGGTGGTTGATGCTGACGGCCAGCGGGATCTGGAAGAGACGCCATTCAGGCGGACGGCTGGTCCGTGCCGCCCCTCAGATTCCCGAGCCAAGATACCCTCACTGCAGTTCGCATGAGTTAACCTGTTCGACGATGTCTTCCATTGAGACGAGACTTCCATTGAGACTTCCATCTTCCATTTGGACGAGACAAACGGCGTTGGCAGCGAGGCAGACGAGCGAGGAGACGCGTACACACGGCAGACGAGTGAAGGAATGCTTTCACACGGGGCAGACGAATGAGGGAGTGCATCCATACGAGGCAGACGAGTGAGGGAACGCGCCTGCACTAGGCAGGCGGATGAAATGACGTGAACACATAAGACATACGGGTGATGGAATGTGTACACACGAGGCAGACGAATGAGGGGACGCATCCACACTAGGCAGGCAGATGATGGGATGTATACATACGAGGCATACGGGTAGTGGGATGTGTACACACGGTGCATGGGGGTGAGGGAACGCGTACACACGAGGCAGACGAATGAGGGAACGCGTACACACGAGGTAGACGAGTGAGGGAACGCGTGCACACGAGGCAGACGAGCGCGAGTCGGTACGAACGCAAGCGAGGCAGACGGCGATGATGACGAGGCCGACGAGCGAGGCAAGCCAGCGGCCGACTCGGTGTCCCAGCGGGCCGAACAGGTTTGTGCCGATCAAGTAGGAAATGGAGGCCGGCAGGAAGATGGCGCCCAGCTGCCACTTGTCCGCTTTCATCGTGTCCATCATGTAGATGGGCAGCGACGGCTCCAGCATGGCGATCCCCGAGTTGGCGATGGTGATGGCCCCTGCCGGAAAACGGCCATGGCGGTGAGATAGGAGCGTGAGTTGTGCAGTATCGGGCCCCAGAAAAAAGTCACGCGGATGAAAACGGCGTTTATAGCATTGTCATTGAGGCGTGTAGCGGATTAAACCGCTGGATCCAATCCCGGGCTGGAGTCGGAAATTTGCCCCGCAGCGGACAGACCCTGAATGCAGAATCTTCCCGTCGAAAGCTTTGGAAAATTAGCTATGACGGTTAATAAGTCGCATGATTGGTGCTTATGCTGCCGGCCGGGGATGTGCCTGTGGCTCTCCTGGTGTATCAATGTCACGGGATCCTGGTGTATGACTGTCACAGGATCACGGGATTCTGGTGTACCACTGTCACAGGATCACGGGATCCTGGTGCATCACTGCCATGGGATCACGGGACTTTACACCGTCGCTGCTTGCGGCTGGTCCGCCTCTCGCCCCGTGCCTGCCGGTCGGCGGGCACTGACCGGCGCAGATGACGATGTAGGGGTCCTGGATCAGCTGCTTCAGGGAAGGCGCTTCCTCTGGGCGCTTGCGGATCCCCGGCTGCAGGATCAGCAGCTGCAGCACTGGCGGCGCACCGGGAGCCGTTGACGCGTAGGCGGACGTTGCCGGCTTTCATGATTCACCCATTAAAAACAAGACGCTCTCCTGCTGATTGAATGATGTCCTAGCCCGTGCTACGATGCTAGACAAACGGTGACTGCAATTCAGTGATAGTTTCAGAACTCTCAGTTTGCGCAATCAGGTGGACCACGGCACTTACTTTAATCGGGAGTCGCTTGTAATTGTGAATTCGCTTCAACCTAGGCACGCCTGAGAGAATTGCTCACACTTTCTTGAAAGCAGCAGAGCGAGCCACCAACCGCTCAGGATCGTCAAATTAGCGGTCCTCACTGCCACCCGCTCACGTCCGTCCTGTGTTCCCCTCCCATCCCCGTCAACTGCCGTCCGTCTGTTGCCATGGGGTGTCGCTGTACTGCGGGCCGCCTACCGCCGCACACCCGCGTTCGTCCACCACCACGCATTTGGTGCCGTCCACCCACGTCCTTCTACTTCCGTGTTGTCCTTTCATGCCTGCCCGTTGTTGGCCACCCATGTCTACTTCTTACGGCCTACTTCCAACTCCCCAAGTCTGTTCTAAGCATCCTCCAACATCTGGATGCGGCGAGGTCGGCATGCGACGTTGCCGAACGCCGCCATGTTCGGCGGTACGCCAGGGGGCCGACCGCGCTGTTCTTCGCCCAAGCCTTGAAGCGCCTCCGGCAGAGAGGAGTTCAGCAGCGGACATCATGTTTTACTTATCACAATGCATTGTGATGGGTCAGCCCAGTTGGCCCAAACCGGACCTGGCTCCCAGGGAGTGCACCAGCGACCCAACAAAAAGGCGGATACACTTGGCATGAACGCTCTCCATTTTTATGGGCTGGAAATTTGTATGAGACAGGCGTCTTGCAATTTGTTGCAGACCTCAACGCAAGAAAGGGTTACGTTCAATGTTATTGAACCCCCTATATTTGAAGTATAGGGTTCGCACAGAACGAGGCTGCAGGCGTGACCCAGATTCCAGGGTTTGCACGGAATGAGGCTGCAAGTGTGACCCAGGTTCCAGGGGGTGCACGGAATGAGGCTGCAGGTGTGACCCAGATTCCAAGGGGTGCACGGACACAGGCTACGGGCCTGCTGAACCAAAGGCTATCATGTGTTACCGCCCGCAGCAGAGGTTTGCCATCCGTACAGCAGCATATGGTGATAATTTAATCCCAACGTGTGACGTCACTGGAACATCGGGTGTTTGCTTCAGAGCAATGACTATGAAAATGCCCGTCCTAAGGGTGTCGCGTGCGCCATTAAAGAATATACTCCCTCGGTGCACGAACTCGTCCCGTTTTACGTTCTAGCAGCGTTGCGAGGGAGACATTTTTGATGATGGACGATTTGCCTGTATAAATGGGTGGCTACTTCCGTCAGCTCACGAATGTTTATCACTGCCCTATGAGACCCGTCCACTGACGTCTCATTGCACCCATCTCCTACTGTCTATTCACGTCTATCTTCTGCTGTCCTCCTACGTCCACTGCCGTCTTCCCACGTCCACCGCCGCCCTTCCACGTCCACTACCGTCCCCCCACGTCCACTGCCGTCTTCCCACGTCCACAGACGTCCACTCACGTCCGTCTCCGAGTGCCAGCACGGCCAGCACGATGAACGGTGCCGTCTTGCCCACAAACTGGAGCATGAAGCTGCCGAAGGGCGGCCCAATCAGCACGCCCATGGCCAGGCCCCCCAGCGCGATGCCCATGGCGTTACCACGCTCCTGGTCGTCCGGGTACCGTTCAGCCAACATGCCCATGCCTGTCGGCACAGTGGGAACCGAGCGGCCTCAGGGACACTGGACCAGCCGAGTGGCCGAAACACACCACTGGTCGATCAATGTTGCTCATTGCCCAGTGGCGAACGTTTTTGCACATCATGCAATATTATACGACTTTATCATGCATGTGTGTATAATAGTTATACAATGTATGGTAAATTTATCTATTCAATATATGTAGATACATTATATGTATGAATATTACACAATTCAAATGAAATAGGTATATGCCCAGATACGATGATGTCACGAGAGATAAGTTTCACGGAAATGACTTCAAATGCTCAGTGATGTTCGGTGAGCACTTGAAATGTTCTGCCGAACGTGGCTCATGGCGCGGGCCACCCGACACTGGTCGATGGGCCGGCCGCACCAGAGTGGAAGCTCCGAGAACGTCACCTGAGATGCTCGAGCACGATGATCCCACGCCCTGGAGCGCTCTGGCTATGAAGAGAACTGGGTAGGTCCGGCCGAACGCGAAGACTGAAACACGGCCATCACCGCTGAATCGACGCCACGGAGTCGGCAGGGGGGAGTGCTCAGCTGTGTTGCGCTGGTCGAGTCATATGAACGGGCCATGAACAGAACGCTTGCGTTGTAGTAGAGTTAAGCACTGTTGAATATGAGAAACAACTCCGGGCTAAAAGAGGCCAAGTTATATTGCATTCATCCGAGTCATGTTGGCTTTGTCCTCTGACCAAATGCTTGTTTGGAAAGACAAAATTCCTGACGCCAAAACTTGCAGCATCGCACAGTGGCGTATTGATGTGGCTACAGCAGCACATCGTCCCCCCCCCCCGCATCTCCCCACTATCAAATTCATTGCATGTTTTGATATGTGTGTGAACAAATGTTGATACTCAAAAATTTTAGGCACGTGCAAATGCAAAGATGGAGAACATACGATCTTATTTTGGGCCGCGCACGAAATACCACGTGCCTGTGGCGTGGTACTCTATTTTCAGTGACATTTTTTGACATTTCCCCCCCAATTACGAAATCCCGCATAGACCTCTGAGCCCATGCAAATAGATCTCAACATAAACAAACATCGAGCAATATAAATCACATCCACTGGCAGGCTGGTGCTTGATTTCTCTCCAGATGAATCGATTCCTATTCCGACTGGTGGTGCCTTGGCTCAAATCCGATTCCGACTCCGACCAATGCAGAGTAATTTCAGGTCGAGTCTGATTTCACCTAAAAAAGTCAAGAGCCGCACTAGGCGTTGAGACCTATCCTTCCTGTAAGGGAGGAGTTATTAGAGCACATTCTGTTTTTTTAGCTCGAATTTTCTCTTGGAGTTACTCTTTTCATTTCTGTTTGAGTCGGCCCATCGATTACTCCTGCCCATAACTGATTTCACTCGGGTTCCAGGCCAAACGAATGTTCAACGGTATCGATTTCGCAAAAGTTGTACGATTTCTTAGTCGTTTCCGACCTCGCTCAGAGTTAAGGCAGTTAAACACAAGCCTGTTCACTAATGTCCGAGTGCAAACGGTTACTGACCCGTTCTAAACTTACTTCCTAAAGATTTAATCCCAACATTGTAATGAATGGATGTCTGGGATCCAAGCTTACGCTAAGCATTGCTGTTGTGTAAGGCCTGACCCCTACCATCCAATCGCGCAATGCTAGATCGACGGCATAACTTTGCGGCAAGGGCTTATGGTGCCGCAATGCTCCACACGGTTCCTCCTGCCCTCTGACGTCACCCGACCTTATCCACGGCCGCTGCGACCGGCCACAGGCCATACATGTCAAGGGCAAATAGCGAGGACTTAAGAAAATAGCGAGCGTCAAGCGACTAGACTCCACACGCCCGATCCGCTCATGAGTGGATCGGAAAGCGGGTGCTCTAACCAGCTGAGCTATCGGGACGGATCAACATTGGCACCAGCGCTGGCTATATATTCACTGAACGTGACCGGAATGCTGCACATAGACTCCACGACGCCTGGCGCGGCCGGTGAGTCCGTACTTACTCAGCGTGGAGAGGAACATGATGACAAACCCGGCGAACATCGGGATGCTGTAGCCGATCCTGCAGGTGAGATTGCACTATTACATGTCGGACCTGGTGGCCGAAATTTTTCACGAATAAGTTCTAGATATGATGTTATTATCACTGTACGAGTAAAACTACTATGATGATTGGGCCGGAGAGACCCAACAAGTAAATTATGTTTGCGGCAGACTCCACATATGTTGTGCGTGCATGTGAAAAATTGGGAATACATAACCACAGTACATGCACCGATAATTTCGCCAAGCAGGGCTTGTTTGCACCTGGTCGCAATCTCGTGGGCTGTATAAGGATGCTGAAGCAGTCGACGCCAACATGCCTCAATACCTTGACGCATCGGTCGTGAGAAGAGCATTGCTTCCGGTAGGTAGTTGAGATTGGACACGTCGTGAAGGCAGACAATGGACGTCTTTTGGCCTATTATGTCTATTGGTTATATGACATGCATTTCGGAAATCATAAATTTGGCCTCAAAAAGATTGCTCCGAATTAATTCTGTTCAATTTGTGGGATGTCTCACAATATATGCATGTGTATGTAAAATTACATTGTATATTTATTATATATAATTATATATATATATATATATATAATTAGAGCAGGTCAGCGATTAAGGTCACTATATAAGCGGCCAGGGTCATTGCGCAGTCGGGATTTGAACCCGGGTCCTCCATGGGGGAGGCTCAGGTGATAATCACTCGGCTATTATGCCACCATCCTGTCAAACTGGCACAATTCCCTTTTGAGTTTCATTGAGGCTCCCTTGAGTTTGATTACACGATCAGAAAAGTCCTGAAATAACCATATACGTTATTACATGTGAAGTGGTCTTCATAGTCCCCTACAGACAAAGCAATGCATTGTACTGTTGTCACGCTGTCCCTTCTGTGTTTCTGGCAATGGTGTCCGCTGATATCGCCATTTATATCACAGTCATTATATATGTATATATATATTATATATATATATATATATATATATATAAAGTCTTCCTCAAATCTTATATCCCACTCCGCATTCCTCGTTTTCGCTCTCGCCTGCTCCCCCTTGTTAAAATTTCCATACACATACATATATGTATACCAGGGTCCCCATGTACCAAAGGTTCATCCATTTTGCCAGCCATGGTTGCATCCTCTTAAGAACCACCTTCGCATTTGGGTCGTTACCTTCCGTCTGTGTATTCATTTCCCAATTTGATCTCATATCTCAGTCAATATTTTCAGTCTCTCACCCAGCATCCAAACCGCAGTCAGAATCCCCCCAGTCAAGGCCTCCCAATCTATCTGGGTCTATCCCAGTCGGGTCTCCCCCAGTCAGGTCTCCCCCAGTTCAGGTCTCTCTCAGCTAGGGTCTCCCTAGACCCGGGTCTCCCCCATTCAGTATCTCAGTGTCCCAGTGAGCGTCTGGGCCGTCGGTGGGCTCGATGGCTCACTTGCATTGATCTGACGGCGATTCACTAAGTGGGCTGTTAGTTCCCTCTGGCAGTCCGGTCGGACGGTCGATGCGCTCCAGAAATCCGGCTGTCCGGTCCCCGTCCCTCTGTGGTTACAGCCGGCCGTCCGGTCCCCGTCCCTTCTGTGGGTTAACAGCCGGCCGTCCGGTCCCCGTTCCTTCTGTGGGCCACACCCGACTGTCCAGTCCCCGTCCCTTCTGTGGGTTACAGCCGGCTGTCGACCCCCCGGCCCGTCTGTGAATCACCACGGCTCTCCTGCCCCCAGCCCGTCTGTGGGCCACACCCGACTGTCCGACCCCGGCCCGTCTGCGAGTCTCACGGCTCTCCGACTCCCGGCTCGTCTGCGAGTCTCACGGCTCTCCGACTCCCGCCCGCTGTGGGTCACACTTTCTCATAGACTGTCCGCTGACCCAGGCTTTCTCCGTGGGTCCACCCCCCCCGGTCTGACGTCCCCGGTCTGTCTGCGGGTCGCACCGCATTACAGACCGCTGGCAGTGTTCTGTTCGTACCGCCCTACAGACTGTTGGCAGCCTGCGAGTCTGTCTGTGGGTTGTACTACCCTACAGACTGCTGACAGTGTTCTGTTCGTACCACCCTACAGACTGCTGGCAGCCTGCGAGTCTGTCTGCGGGTCGTACCGCCCTACAGACTACTGGCAGTGTTCTGTTCGTACCACCCTAAAGACTGTTGGCAGCCTGCGAGTCTGTCTGCAGGCTGTACTGCCCTATCGGCTGTCTACACACTCCGGTCGTCCTATGGATCACATTACCCTGTGGGTTGTCTGATGGCCCCTCCAGTTTGTTCGCTGGTGAAGCTGCCCAATGGCCTGTCTTAAGATGCCACCCTGTCTGGAGGTCACGGTGTCCTGCAGGCCATCCAACGGCCACGAGCATTGTCTGTGTGCAAGAGACTGCCTCAGCTTGCCTGCCGGTCCACGCTGACCCCGACTGTTGACTGTCTCAGCCTGCCTGCCAGCCACGCTGACCCTGGCTGTTGACTGTCTCAGCCTGCCTGCCAGCCACGCTGACCCCGACTGTTGACTGTCTCAGCTTGCCTGCCAGCCACGCTGACCCGACTGTTGACTGTCTCAGCTTGCCTGCCAGCCACGCTGACCCCGACTGTTGACTGTCTCAGCCTGCCTGCCAGCCACGCTGACCCCGACTGTTGACTGTCTCAGCTTGCCTGCCAGCCACGCTGACCCCGACTGTTGACTGTCTCAGCCTGCCTGCCAGCCACGCTGACCCCGACTGTTGACTGTCTCAGCTTGCCTGCCAGCCACGCTGACCCGACTGTTGACTGTCTCAGCCTGCCTGCCAGCTGCGCTGGCCCTGGCTGTTTTAAGTGCTGCCGCGCAGCCAGCTCTAGCTCAGTATCAGATGACCGCACCAGTCCGGGGGCTGCCGCGCTTGAAGCCCGCCGGTCAGACCCCTGCTGTGATTCCTGTGGGCTGATCGGCATCAAGCAGACCATGGATATGACTTCTGACTCCGTTATAGGGTCTCCGTCTAGACCTAGACCCCGTGTCGTTGATCATGGGATGCATGACGCTTGGAAAACAGAACAGGCCATGAGAGTTCTGGCGATTGACTTGGCTATCCGGTCACCACGGACACCACAGACCGTGGGCGAGCTTCCGGCGCGGCCTCATCGCGGTAAAAGGCCACGCGGGCCCCTCCCACACCGCTGCGGCAAGCGGCCATCGTCCTCCGCGCCCCGCTTCTGCCTCTGCCGGACGGCACCGCGCCAGATAATTGCAGGGTTGTTAGTTGGGACTTCGATCATGCCGATACGGTTTCTAGCATCACTGAACTAGCTAAGCATTGTTAAAGTTACCGCTATTGTTTTCAAAACTCCGTCTAAGCAAATTTGAGAGTAACGATGCGGTCATTTATTTTAAAAGCACCCCACAGCAGACCTAGAGACAAATAAAGCTATTTAAGTTAACAGTTATCTCCAAGCGTACTTAGAAGAAAGTTTCGTTTTCGATAGAAAAAATGAGGACACATGACAGACTTTTTTTCCGCGTGGGCAGACAACGACAAAGGCAAAATGCAAGACAGCAACAAAATAGGTTGGTAGATAAGCGAAAATTAGATGAGGCATATGTAGTTATACATGATAGTAAATACGGAAACCCATCTTACTGTCCGCAGCCCTAAAAAAAAGCTAGGCGCGCTAGGTGTGCCCACGCATGTAACTTATTCATTTTCTCCAAATCATGGTAAGTCCTTTCATTTTAGCCCGAGTGGTTCGGAAAAAACAGGCTAAATAAACTAAAGTCGGCTGCTGAATAAGCCGGCTGGTCGACGTGATCAGCTGACAGCTGAAGACTAATGCAGGGTTTTTCCTTTGTTATAAAGGACTACAAAATATCCCAGCATTCAGAATGCGTTAAGAAAGTGACGCACAATATATATATATATATATATATATATATATATATATATATATATATATATATATATATATATATATATATATATATATATATATATATATATATATATATATATTGTAATGTATATTATCATTTTATATATATATATATATATATATATATATATATATAATAAGTGACACGATGCAATAGCCGAGGGAAATGACGCGTAGGGCGTCGGCGGCACGCGAAATTACCTTCGACGATTGCGCGTAAAAATTCATCGGCGCATATCCGAATGCTATTCTAAGGCAAAGGCACGTAGGCCAATAGGGACGAATCCTGAACGATCATGGGTGCCAGGCGAGACAAACAAAGAAGCCTACGACAACAATTATAGGGTCCCCGGAGCAAGCGAGAAGAACCCACGACCAAAGTGGTTGGCCCCTTACGATCAGTAGCGTCCCGGCATGCTAACATATAGGACCTCGGCCAGAGAACAGGACCCTCTGAGTAAAGGAAAATTTCCGAAGACCAATGTAATGAATAAATGCCCATGCACGATCAAGAGTGCCCAGGCAGGTTAGAAGAAAGGGCCCCGGTAGAAGTGAAGGGTTCTCCGCAAATGAGATCAAAGGGAAATAGCCATAGTTCAAAGTGAAGGGTCCCTGAGCATAGCATGGCTCGGTACCTTACCTTGTGTGAGCCCCAGGAACAGCACACGGCCCTCCGAGCAAGTGGAAAGAAGCCGGCACCAATGCGAAGAGCCTCTGAGCAACTGAGTGCACCCTGACATATGACGCTCAGGAAGAAGCGCATAGAGCCTTTGGAATGGGAAGAATCCGTGGAGGAAAATCTGATCAATCAAGACTGCCGAGATAAATAAGCAGACAGCGTTCCAACAGCAGCGTGGGGCCCTGCGGAAAAATGCAAAGATATCAAGGGCAATGTGGAAGGCTCCTCAGTGATCCCATTGACCCAGCAAGTGGACATATAGGGCCCGGGCAACAGCGTAGGGCCTCTGGATAGCGTAATGAACCCAAAATTCCCCCAATCAACACCCCAATCAGCGAAAAATGAGCTTGGTTTGCTCATGGGCTCTTCGCTCGCTTCGCGACACAAAGGGTATGGTCCAGTGCCTTTCCTCCCCCCCCCCCCCCCCCTGTATCCGCCACGGGCTTGAGC